CCTCATGAACGGTACTTGGCTTTTTTCACGGACAATTACTGCACTTTTACTGGTAACATCGACGAGTTCAATCGGCTTGTCGAACATTCATGAGACAGCGCTTGGAAAGCGAAGAGCTTGAAAGTCCTGGAAGAAATGCCACTTTGAGAAGGCTTTCGAGCTTATACGCCAGCGTGGAATCGTGCTGACTGACTGACCTTGGAGACTTACGAAGCTGGGCAGGGAAGCGATAGCTGAAAATTCGGAAGAAAGAAGAGCTGCTATTCTGGCTGAAGCCATGGAGACTAGAAAGATCGGCGCTCGTGATACCTACCGAAGCTTCGCCAATTACAGAATCAAGCTCACTTCTCTGAGCCGCCCTGACGGAACTGTTACTGCACCGGGTAGTGGAGAAGGACAATGACGACTTATACTTTTATCTCTCCAACATCCATTTCCACCTGGTTTTCTGAAGTCCTCTGCAGGATGAATACTTCGCTCATTTATTCCAAATTCAACATGCCGTCATGTCAATCAGCAGCTGTAAGGCGCCCTGACAGGATTAAACTGAGATCATCTAATAAGGCCACTTTTGATGAAAATCGTAGCTCGGCTTTCGACGCCTTCCACGCGATACTGTTCCGAATGCAAAGTACTTGCGTTGATGTTTAAAGGCACAGTTCACGATAATTTTGAGGTACTCGTTTTTATTCGAAAAGCGGAAGTATAGATTGGGAATAATTCATCGGTAGTAAAGAAAGCGAGAGAACTCGCCGATTTTGAAAAAAATATAGCTCCTTAAAAGTAGGGAGAACAGAGGTTGGACGAGATTGCCATGACGGAAATAACATGAAAGGGGTATTTGGACGGGATTTCAGTTATTGCAGTGGCACAAAGAGCTGACTCCATCAAGCCAGAACTGTACAGAACCCTCTTTTCTGTCGCTATGGATCATGACAAGTCGCTTGAACTTCCCAAATGGGCTCCCTTGTTAGCTTCTACAATGCCGGTGAAACTCGTCCGAGCATACACACGGGCCAATCTTTGAGCCTTTACAACTCCCTAATCAGGCCATTTTACGACCTAATAAAGCCAGTTATGGTATCTGCGGGTACCTCAAATCCATACTGTGGGGGAAGCTCAGAAACCATTTTTATGGTAAGCTGTGCCATTAAGGAGGGACTCAAATGATCTGGCAACTACCGACAATCTGTTTGCTGTCTTAGCCTACAAACTCTTAATATCAGTCACCATCAGGGTCAAGAGGATATCGAGGATACTGAACGCGACAGCACTGTGAGCAAGTTGGGCTTAAGGAATGGTAAGACGAGCAGTCGAAGAATTTCTTAGATGACTGTCTGTCATATGAAGCGTTAGTTGTAATGTGATTTATGTAAATGAATGCAGAACTACACCCATATACCCTTCGCAAAAAGATTCTGTGCAGCTGTGGATTCTTTTTTCCACAAAATTATTATCGGAATCGGCTGTAATCCCCCTCACTTTGGTAGATATTGCCGTTCGTTGGAAGAAGTAGATGGGGCTATGCGTCATCATAGTAAAATGTACTAGTATCGTGTTTGGGAATGGAATAGCCGTTTAGTCAACGTTAGACACCGCAGTAGCTCAGTAGGATCAAGACTAAGCCAATAATGGTACCGAATAATGGGCATTATGGGTATGGTCCCAAATGCAGACGTTTGTCATCCAATACCCCTACCATGCCTACTACCCAGTACCATATCAGCAGAGCAGAAACATTCTATTCATTGTCCCAACCGGTCATGCTGAAAGCATGGTCGCATAGAACTGGTCCTATGAAAGTTTTGATGAAAATGTAGTTGGGGGATACCAGCGCCCTTTTGTGCTCAGTGTCTCTGACACCAGGCGGCACAGTGCATAGAGACCGCGCCAGAGCGCAGGAAAGGTTTTCTCCTTTATTAAAAGTTAGGGAAGGAGCTCCGGGGTGGGAGAGATGATTATCCCGTGTAAAAAGCTGGGATGGGGTAAGAATCGAGAGGGGCGCGCGATTCACGCGTGACCCCATTAGAGCTCTTTGCGCACGCAGCATCGTTTCAGTACCTTTCTGTTGAGATGGATCAAAAAAAATTGCAGTAGTCCACGGTTTCACCATGAATTAGAGCAAATCTTTTTACTATGGCAAAAAAGCCCCTTCGAGATTG